GATACAAAACTATGATATTTAAATCTTTCTATCAGATATTTTATGGTAAGTTGTTTTTCTCACTATTTTGGGTCAGCTTTGTACAAAAAAGAATGAAGATCATTTATTTGCTACAAGATATGTCCATGATGAGGCCCAGTACTGCAATATTTACAGTAGGTCTACTAGTATTGTTCAGAAGCTGGGGTTGCATTATACACAAACTGTATGAAAAATTCAGGAGTCACAATATACATGAAGTAGACTTATACATGAGTATATACAGTAAACAAAAAAAAAAAAAAAAAACTTTACAAGGCTTTTTGTAGAAATTAATAAGCAATTATAGGGATTAATTGCATTTTGCTGTCCATTTCCCACAGGACAATAGCCTTGTGAATTAAAGCATTGGTTCATGAATTTGGTGACATAGTAATTGTGAGTTCAATCCCTGATCTGGGCAATGTGTATTTAGACTCTGTGCAAATGAATCGAGAAATAACTGAGCCATAATAAAAGATAAGAACTACTATAAGAACTAGATAAGGTATACACCTGATGAAGGCCAGAGGGCATGAGAGCTGAAGCGCTGTAATGATAACAACAAAGATGAAGATAATAGACCACATGTAAATACTGATAACTCCTCATCCCAGAACAGATTTGAGGAACATTATAAAAGCCTATCCCACTATATAAATTATATACAAAGTACATGCTACAGGAAGAGATTATTTATGGTACAACAAAGAATTTACTGAACATTTATTAACTACTAGCAGTAGAGCCCGGCGTTGCCCGGGGATGTAACTGTAAGTGATAGATCAAGTATCAACCATCATAAAGACTGAAAAATAAAATTGACAATGATTATTGTTTAACATTGATGGACACGCATGTCTTAATTAGTTTTTTTTTTTTTTACAAATTGGTCAAACCCAAACTCAAACAAAAACATTGTTTTCAATCGTTATGAGTCTACCGATTGAATAGAATTTTATCATAAACAATTGTCTTGTAAATGGAATTTTAAAGCATTCTGAATGTAAAAATAAAGAAAAAAAGTGTGCAAGACAATAAGAAACACTACCAAAAAAAAAAAAAAAAGTGAAGTTTTGTTGAAATCGGTTGAAAAATGTAGGAAATCTGATCCCATATATAAAGGAACACACACACGCACGCACGCAAACAACCTGGGTTTTATAATAAGTATAACTCAATATGAGTTGTCCCCCTTTCATTCCGCAAAAGCGGTGCCTCTTAATTGTGTTTTCAAATTGATTTTGTGCAAAAATTTTCCAATTTTTGGTGCTGTCAGAACCACTGCAAGGTAATTTTACGTAGTCCTGTGAAGTTTTGTTGAAATCGGTTGAAAAATGTAGGAAATCCGATCCAATATATAAACGTACAGACACACACACACAACCTGGGTTTTATAATAAGTATGATACAGGACTAAATTATTTACAGTACAACAAAGAAAACTTCTTTTACTGAACATTTATTAATTATAATGGCAAGTGGTTTTTATCACCATATTGAGGTAGCTTTGTACAGAAAAAATGAAGACCATTTATATGTCCAGGATAAGGCCCAGTACGGCAATATTTGATTACGGTAGGTCTAATGGTATTGCTCAGAAAATCTTGTTTTTCACAGAAACATTCAGGGTGTTACACTATACATGAAGTAAACTTATACACAAGTATATATGGTAAGTACGAGTATATATGGTAATTTTTTATCCTTTGCCTTCTTGACCCTTAGTTTTAATATATTTGTATATATTATAAGAATATATATTTATTTGAAATGCTCCATTTTTTAAAAGCCATAAGAAAGAAATTTATGATTAAAATAATCACTTACCTTTTCTGGCTTCCAAGCTAAATCTATGATATCAATACCACAAAATCCTCGAACAATAGCAATAGACAGACCTATGGAAGTATAAGGAAAAGATTAATAAAAGCATAATTCTACATATAAAATCTGGTACACAAGAATAACAGCAAAAAAGGATTGTGTAAAGGACAGTTTTTCTCATGACTGCTTTTATTTTAATTGCCTTTTAATCCTCACCAATGTTGTTCTAAAAAGCCATGATTAAAATTGTAATAAAACATAAAACTGAATTTATACATTTTTTTGTTCTTGAGAATTTACAACAAAAATATTAAACACTATTAAATTATTTACAAGATTAATTTTATATTTACAACATTCTAAAAACTAATACTATTAAGACTAATGCAATATTTATCATCTACCAATTGATAAAGAAATAAAAATGAAAATTTTTTATTCATAAATTTATAGATATTTATTAAATTGTTAAAATATGTCAACCAACTATAAGGAAATCATTATTTACCATTCTATAAAATTCAAGTCAATTAATCAATGTTTAGTCAACCATTCCAATAAATAAACAATATAAATAAATAATGTGAAAAAACATACTAATAAATAGTGTTTATTATTTTTGTTGTCAATTCACAAGAACAAAGAAAATATATAAATTCACTTTCATATGATTGGATTTTATTCTAATTCTTATCATTGCTTTTTAAAACAAGAAACATTGCCCAGGAGTGATGTTACTTAAAATAATAGCAGTGTCAAGGGAAAAACATTTTTTTTGACATTGTTTTTTTTTTTTTTTGTTTTGCTAGCATGTAAGTTAATGTTTGACAGAATAACAAGTTTGAAATAATATTTTTATGTTATTATGAAAAGAATATCATTTATCATAAACAAATCATTTATTCAAACTGAAATAGATCAACAAATATTACAACACTCAGAGATTATGCTTTTTATATCTATAGAGTAGACATACTGGATTATTATCTGAATATGTAGAGATGAACCAAGGGAGACAACTGAGTAATGGAATTAATATAAAACAATAAATTTTTTTTTTTTTTTGAAGCTAGAAAAATAGTTTGATTTATTAGGGACTTGAAGCGGTATGCAACGCTAGTGAATTGACATAGTTCTTTTAAAAACTATTTTCTTTTCTCTCGCCTTTAAATTATTGCAGAAATGAGGTTTTAGTTATATTATTCTTTCTTTTTCTCTCTCTCTTTTAAACAAAGAGTCCCGATGTACAGAACTGGAGTGGAGTGCTGATGGTTGGCAAAAAAAAAACTAAACAATGGTCGAGGGAGAAGGTAATGACTTATTTGGTTATCAGCTGTTAAAAGTTGGCAATTTATGTAAAACTTTGTAAATGCCTCCAAATTATCTGGAAGCTGTGATTGAAGCCAATTGCAATTTTATTGAATAAATTTACTCTTTAGTATTTAAAGATATTTTTGCGCAATTTTTTGTAAATATATCTGTTAAAATGAGATGTCAGTATTATTTTCATTTTTGTGTAATTTAAATACAATTTATCCCTCAAACCCTTACATATAATACTTGATAAATAATGGACTATTCCATTTTGATTGTGTGAGAAGACAAAAAACATCAAAAGATTCTACTTGGTTTCATTAAGAAAATGAAAGAAACGAGGGAGAAGTGTTTTATGGCTATTTCAGTGAAATGGAAAAAGTTGTTAATTTCAAATCTTTTCATTTGTACCCCCTTACTTCTTCAAAATAACAACCAGCATTCATATTTATGATTGTTATTACAATATTTTGTTGAAGTTGTTAAGCTCAAATATTTAGCGATGTTATAGGGAAATTTCTACAACTATTTTATTTTCATAGAACTTGCCATGAGTTTATTCAGTTAACTGAAGAATTAAGATTCATAAGAAACTTCAAATAGGAAAAGTGTGAAATTTTCACGGGTTAAAAATAGTAGTTGATTTTTTTTTCTGAACATATAGTTGTGATCAACCAAGGGAGGCAACTGAGTAATGGAATTAATATACAATATTAATTCTGGTCAACATTTGATGAGAAGGCAATGACATATCAGTATGTCAATTTTTAAAATTTGATTTCTTTTTTAAAATTTTGTAAATGCTTCCAATTGCAGTTTTGCCATTAGGACATTTAATATGAAAAGAAAAGCAGGAATTATTGGCTTGGGATGTTGATAATTATACCAATGATGTAATGCTGTCTCCAAGAAAACAAAATTAAAAAAGTATTTGATAATAATATTGGAGTTAGTACAAATTAATAGCTTTGAAAACATACAGCAAATATTATAGAAATAGTTTACCATCAATACAAAATAGATGAATAACATCTGTAGACAAGGAAAGTCTTAGAATATCAGTTTTGCAGTTTGAGACAAATAGGAAAGAATATAAGCATAGCCTCAGCAGCAGCTCTTAATAAGCATAGTATCAGCAGCAGCTCGTAATAAGCATAGTATCAGCAGCAGCTCTTAATAAGCATAGTATCAGCAGCAGCTCTGGGAGATAAAAGCAATGCAAACCCTTAAAGTAACTCTTTTCCTGTTCTCCTCCTTTCAAAATGTGTGTTACTGACTTTTCACACTGAAGCAAAAAGGGCTGTGGGCACTTTATATAAAAACACATTTTCACTGGCAAGTCACACTCAAATACATTCATTAACAATTTTTTTTGTGTATTCTATTTTTTTTTTAAGAAAAAAAACTCTTAAACTATCCTTTTGTTATTTTGTTTAATAAATCTTATCTTGCATTGCAAGTCAATTGGTCTCTGTTATTTTGTACATGTACCTTTTCACCACCATTATTTCAAAATATTCTCTTAAGAAACCTTATACATTAAATATAGAAGTAGCTAACACACTAAAAATATATTTATTTTATCGATTTGTTTTTTATGGCTTATCAACCTTTTATTTGAAGCTGAAACATATTTTTGGATTCTAAGAATTTGGGAGGGATAATGATTTAGTGATACAAATCTTACTAATTAACCCATATCTGGGGAAGAAGATGTGGATTCATACCATTCCCAAGAGTATTTATGCATAAGTGAAAATAATGAATACTGCAGGAATTGGAACTCAGCTTTCCAATTAACAATTCAGAGTCATTATCCATCACATCATTTACACATCCCAGCACCACCCAATATACCCAAGCGATCACCCATCTAGGTACTGACCAGGCTCAACATTGCTTAACTTCAGTGATTGTACAGGAACCATTGTTTCAATGTGATACGGCCATAAGCTCACAGTAAATAATTCTGCAAATTATCTTGCCATTCAAGCTGTCACATCATAAGCACATCCCAGCACCCGATATACCAAAGTGATCATCCATCTAGGTATTGACCAGGCTCAACATTGCTTAACTTCTTTTAAGTTAATATGTATGTATGTATATGTAAAAATATGTAAAATAGATAGATAAACAAAGAAAGATAGATATATAAAGCTGCGTGAAATACCTGATAGATAAAGATGTATGAAATACTTCAAGATAGATGTATACATAGATAAAGGTGTGTGAAATACCTCAGGATAGATAAGGTAGATATATGATGTATAAAGTACCCCAAGACAGATAAATAGAATAAATAGAGATGTAAAGATGGACAAGTTCTTCACCAAAAAATGGTTTTAGTGAACCTGAAGTAGAACATAAGAGCATTACAACAATCAGGTTTTGTGCTTTCATGCCTGTATAGTCTGTTGTGTTCACTTTCACATAAATACCCTGGGAGAAGTCAAAGAAGTCATGACAAACAGATAAGGAAACAATCTGTGGAGCACCACAGTTACCTACATTTTAAAAGGACACAACAATAAGAAAATAGATGAGTTCAAATCCTCACCTAATCTGTTGCATTAACGTTTACACTAATGCATTACTCTCATCTTTATGGGTTAAATAGCTAAGTTGTCTGGGCTCTCTCTAGCTTTGAATTGCAGCTAATCTATGAAGGAGTACACAGGGTCGGCGTGTACTACTTCTGAACTCCCACGCCAAGCCTCATTGGGGGTCCCACAAAGTGCTTTGTGACCCTTGCTATCTTATCAACATTTGCTTTTTTCTACCTACATTCATATACGTTACAAATTAAATGAAGCACAACTATTAAAGGATGAAAAATTTTCATGGATTTTGATATCATTCTGTTTTTTTTTTTTGTTTTTTTTTTCCCCTCAAAGTCCAAATCTGTGAATAGGTTTTGCTCATGCCAAGTTTCAAGAAACACTTTATAAAATTCAGTATTTTATGGGTTGGGGGCACAAACCTCTTGCACCAGCCCTGGGGTTACACTGAATTCCAAACTGTTGAGAAGGCAATGGGGAAACCACTTCTCTATCTTTCCTAAGAAGAAATTTACACATATTAAAGAAACTAATTACCTGTCATGAAGAGACTTTGAAATTACACAGAAGAAAAGTAAACAAGTAGAGATCAGCTAAGGGAGGTAACTAAGTTATATAAAATATATTATGAAACATTAATTTTCAAGCCATATGTGACAAAAAAAAATAAAAAATAAAAATAAATAAATAAATAAATAAATAAAATAAACGTACCAAATGTGATTTTCTCCATTCCAATGCAAATTGAGAAATATTTTGCATAGATACTGTTGGATATTTATTTTTAATTTTATTTTTTTAATCATTTCACCCCAAGTAAGGCAATAATGCTGCTAGAATACAGGGGTGTTATAGGGAGTTAAAATGAAAAAGAATGAGAAGACTAACAATAGGGAGGAAAAAAAAGAATAGTGTTCAAGAAAATAGAAGATGGTGATTGATGTTGCCCTTAAATTTTTGAAAATTGTAGCTATCAGGGAAGCAAGAAATCGGAAGGAAGGGAGTTCCACAGGTGGGAAGTGCGAGAAAAAAAAAAAAAAAAAAAACATTAAAGTAGAGATGACAGTTGCATCTAACTAGTCCAACAGAAAAACAAGTGGGACCTAGTTGCCAATCTAGTAGCATGCTTAAATTCATGTAGTTGAGGCATCAGAGCATCAGAGTAAAAAGCTCATCAGAACAGCTATAAAATTTTATACTATTTACATGCGGACTATTGTTCTCATCTCTGCTGTTGTTATTACATTTCGACCATTGTGCCCTTCAGCCTTCATCAGGTGTATATCAATTTGGGCAACCTGCAAGGAATTTCCAACTGAACCCAATCTTTAATCTATGGGGATAACAACAACAAAGATGAGGACAATAGTCTGAATGTAAATAATGATAGCTTGTCCAAGAAATTCAGACAGAAAGTTATTATAATTGGTTCAAAACAGAGCAACAAACACCTTGTTTGTCGTTAAATACTGTTCATAACCAATATGAGATTGGGAATATAATTGATTTAGACTATTGTTCACATCTTCATTAATATAGATGTTATGAAAGAATGTTTCAGCCAAGTACTTTCTGCCTATCTTCAGTTGTCCATTGTTTTGGATGATAGATGATATCTGTTGATTATTGGGTGATATTGTCCCAGTTCCCACTGAACCAGAGTATATTCTTTTGCTACCTGATTCAGAAATTTAGAATGAAAGCACCATGTTTCTTTTCTCTTTTTTAAGCCATTTCCATTTAACCACTATACCGCCATCCCAAAGGAATCTATGGTGGATTTTTTAGAGTCTTTATATTCAATATCAGATTCAACATTTGTTTATCATGGTGGGTTTGTACCATGTTTTGATCATTTTATATTTCATTTGAAATGAAAAATTGTCAAAATATTTTATTTGAATCATGGGAAATTCTCAAATTACTTCATTTGAACTTGATTATTATAGACACAAAAGAAAATGTGTACTTTTAAAAAACAATGTACAAAATGTAAATTTCTCTACTGCAACTACAAATTTTTTATTGAGAAATATTCTTTACATGGGTCTATTAGATATCTGATAAACAATTACTAACAATACAACAAAAAGCAGCCACATGAATAAAGCATGCAATTGCGAGTGTTAAAAACATTGCTCTGAATAGGTTTGTCCGATCAGTACATTTGCCACCATTTCTTTTCTGTTTACATATCAAGAGAACTGAAGAATAGATGCAATGAATATTACAATATGAAATTTTGGTCACAAAGAATCTATAGCCCAACAGGTACTTACCAATCATTTTGCGAATGTGATGCATCATAAAACTTTGACCTTTAATTGTGATTGTTAAAAACTCCAAACCATTGTGTACAATTGGTTTTTCTGCCTGGAAAAAAAATGTTATTAAAGAAATGATAAATTTTAATTATTAGTACAAGTGAGTAGGAGCTGAAAAGTTCTTGACCTGACAAAGAAGGCATTATAAAAAAATCTTTTTTTAAAATTACAGATGATTGATCATTTGGTCAGATTTTTCAGCTGAGAACTTTTCAGCACTTCTTTGTTATAGTCATAAAATTCTACTCAACAAAGTAGACTATCAGTTATATATTCTCATTAATTTTTTTCTTTTTTTCTTAATGTGTTCTGGGTATATAATCTAACCAATTTCATTTAGATTATTTTTTTTTGTTACCATCATTGTTATTAAGTATTGTGATAGAAGATTTACCAAGAAAGGTGAAACTGTGTAGGAATCTAGACACAAATTCACTGAGGATGAACTAGTGATGACCACAATTTTGACATAAAAAATACTAACTCTAATTAAAAGAGAAAATAATTCACTAAGTCGAAAATGTTTAGAAAATGCTTTAATCACTAATCTATCCACAGTAAATTTACATCCAGGTTCTTACGTTTCACCATTATTGGCAGATCTATTAATACAATGTGGGATATTTAATCTTTATCACTCTGTATACGACTTCATTTGCTGTACAAAAAGTTTATCCTGCTACTGAAGGTGACTCTAATCCCTGAACCATAGTGTGTTTGAATTTCATAGTTGTGTTATCATATCCTGCTATGGCAACAGAAAACAACTGAGTGAAATTAACTATAAGAATACTGCTATTGAGAGGCCTTGAAAAAGAATGCAGTGGAAAGGGAAGTAATATTAATAATTTGGAGTGATAAAGGTTAATAATATAGATGATGGTAACAAGAAGAAAAATTTAAATGAAATTGGCTAGATTATATACCCAAAGCACATTATTAAAAAAAACTAAAACCCAAAAAACACATTATTAAAACAAAAACCCAAAACATTATTAAAAATACCAAAACACATTATTAAAAAAAAAAAACATCATCAAGTAATTAACTGATCCATCTAGAATTAGGACATATTGGTAGATGCTGAAAAGTCCTCAACCTGACCTAAAAGGGATAAAGAAAAAATTTAGACATCATGAAACAAATAGGACTGGGATTAACTTTCTTATTCTTTCACAATGCCCTTTCTAATAACATTAATACGTCAACAATTAAATATCAATTTTCAACAAGTTCCTGTTTTTCCCTTGCCTAGTTGATGTGCAGGTAGTTTAATTGTTAACAAGAAAATGGAAAGCAGAGTTCGAATACCGGCCAAGTTTGTTAAATTCACTTTTGCACAAATACACTTGAGAAGGTCATGAATTCATTTCTTCACTCCCCAACTATAGGTTAAATAGCAGATCACACTGGGCTCTCTAGCCATAACTGACAACCAGTCTGATTTGAGGTCAAAAATTGTAAACAACTTACCTAAATTGTGTGTAAATTTTCAAATACTTTTGAGTATCATTTGTTACTTTCAATGAAAATTAGAAGTCCATTTAAAAGGAGAAATACTCATAGAAAGACTAAACCGACATTCCATGTCCATTGTATTTGTAGAGGTCAGTAGTTGGTGTGATCTCTCACATTTATATCTATGCAAAATACCACAAAATATGAAACAATAAGAAACACAAAATGTTTTTTACAACAATAAAAAGATCTATATTTATCTACGTAATGATAAACAAGCATAGGAGTTACTTCCCTTCGACTGGAATTAAAATCTTACTAATTATAAAACGCAGATTGTGTGTGTATGTCTGTACGTTTATATATTGGATCGGATTACCTACATTTTTCAACCGATTTCAACAAAACTTCACAAGACTACATAAAATTACCTTGCGGTGGTTCTGAAAGCGCCAAAAATTGGAAAAAACACAATTGTTTTTGCATGAAATCAATTTGAAACCACGATTAAGAGGCATCGCGAGAATGAAAGGGGGACAACTCATATCGAGTTATACTTATTATAAAACCCAGGTTGTTTGTGTGTGTGTTTGTTTATATATGGGATC